ACAAGCATATCCCACTGCCCACCATCATTTGTTGGGTTCGTAAGCAAATACTGCACTAGCCTCCCATCCTCAGGCTCATTTTTTTGGGCTGTGTCCACAAAAGCACTCAAGAAGAAATAACAGCGTTCAACCTAGAGTAAGGAAGTTAAATAAAATTAAAAAGACGTCCAAAAACTTTATTAGCCTTAACAACAAAATAGAAGCTTTGGAACTACCATCATCCCAACATAACAGGTATTTTTAAACTAAAATTGGCAATTAAATATCAATGTCTGGCTTCATAAGAATAGTTTGGGCTGCAAGTATAGCCCAGTGGTAGTTGTTGCCTAGCACGATGGAGGTCTTGAGTTCAATTCCCAGCACCACAGAAACAAACATTCCAATATTGAAAACAAGTCTTTCATCATCAAGTATCTAATGGACACATGCAATACACATTTTAAAGATTTTAAAATAAACTTATTTACAGTTTTTTAGACAAGTACAAACCTGAGTAGGAGAATTAGGTCCTAGAGAGACCAAATAATCTAAGTAAAGATGATAAAAAAGGAAATTATTGAGAACAAAATTATGAATTTAAAATAATGAAAGTAGTAAACAGCAAGCTGAGTCAATAGTAGAGTCATTGTTTTACTGTAAAAAGCAGCCACATGGCAGCCAAAAGCTCTTTTGCCTTTCAAAAGAGTAAATTTTTGACACTTTGGAAAGTAGAATAAATAGTGTCTCATCTATAATAAAAGTGACTACAACTAGAGAAGCAAGGAAGAAGCAATTCCTAACAAGGTTGATATCAAAACAAAAAGACTGTGCAAGGTCATTCCCATACCTTGTCCCAGAAAAAGATGTAAGACTGACTAAACTCAAATTCTTCAATATTTAATTTTTTCATGAATGGAATTCTCATAACATTCAGACAAGAAAAGATCCAGCATCGCCCTGAAACAAGAAAGCAAAATAAGAAATTATGATGAGTGCTCACATAGATACCATTGCTTCAGATAATTTCCCAATGCTTACTTAACATATGAGAAGATCTGGATAATTTCAACTAAGTCAGGAAGATCAGAAACATTAAAATAAAAGACAGCTAGCAATTACTATTTGCAATATATGAGCAAAGTTTAAATAACTTTTATACAGATTTAACATCTTTACTATTTAAAAAGCTTTTTTTTTCTTTTGAAATTGGGGTCTCACTATGTTGCTTAGATTGGTCTTGAACTACTGGGAGTGACTCTCCTATCTCAGCTCTGTCTAGGAGCTGGGACTATAGGTGGGCATGCTACTTGGCTAAAAACACTTGTTACAGATAACATGAAGAATCCATTACAAATCACCTAAGTAAGCCACACTGAAAAAAGAGACACCACTAGAAAAACATGAACAGAGATCATTCAGGGGCTCGAAAAGATTTAAATGGCAAAGAAACATTTTTAAAAGTTCATCATAAGACACATGCTAAATGGGGAAAACATCTTTTTTAAAAAATTTCTAATACCCAACATTACTAAAGGATGGGAACTAAGTTGGTATTAAATGCTTAAGGGTAATCTGGCAACTTCTAGAAAAAGTTTAAAAAGTCCCTACCCTTTAATATGGAATTATACATTATATGCTTCAATAAAAAATGAACCTAACAGAAGTCAATCCCCTATCTCCCCTATCCTCCTAATTATGAATAATAATTAAAAAAACCCTAAGTATCTACCTAACTGGATTACATAAGTATTTAAAGATACAGATGATATTTGGGAGGCTGAGGCAGGAGGATCACTTGAGTCCAAGAGATTGAGACCTGACTAGGCAACACAGAAAGAGCCCATCCATCCTCTTAAAATATATGTACCTATTGTTTTTTGTTTTGTTTTTGAGGCAGGGTCTCACTATGTAGTTGAGATTGACCTGGAACTTACTATGTAGCCCAGGCTACTCACAGCAATCCTCCTGCCTCAGCCTCCCAGTGCTGGGATTACAGGCATGAGCCACCACGCCCGGCTCCTACTGTATTTTAAAGATATATGGATGAAATAGTAAATTATCTACTTGTTAAAATCATGGTAATACATTTATTTAGAAGCTGTTTTCCCCATTTTATTTTCAGACTAATTCATACTCTTTACAAGTATCTTGGCATCAGTGCCTTTGCACTGATTTGACACTTTTAATCAGAATACCTCATCTTTCTTCCATTAAATGGAACAAAGTAAGTTTCAGTCACAGCAATGTTTGAATCCATGCATGATGCTGTCCCTGAAAATTTTATACCAAACATCAATCATACAACTACATTCCTCATTTATCCTGTAAATGTATAATCAGAAACTCTACAATGTTATCACTTCTTGTACTAATTTATCTTTTTTTTTTTTTTTTGGTACCAGGGATTGAACTCTGGACCTTACACTTGTGAAGCTGCTGGCAGAACCACTGAACTAAATCCCCAGCTGTAATTCTTTTAAAGCACAATGATATCCAATATTTCTATGCGAGGTCATGTATTAGGAATATACCGTATTCAATTTTTTTTTTTTTTTTTTTTTTGCCTCTTCAAAGAACTGATTCAATCAAATGCTCTCTGTAAACACCCAAAACCAGCCTGGACTGACATTACTTCAGAGTAGTGTCTGCCAAACTGTACTCTTAAGATAAATTAACACAGCTATGATCATTCTGAAAGTCCTTCTAAGACCTTGAAGATAGGTAACTCTTTTCTGAAGGAAAATTTTTGACTTATATTTGGATACAATTTTTTTACTCATATGAAACTATTTTCACAATACATAGGTAAGTGAATAAGGTAGGTAGATTACCTAATAATGTGTAAGGCATCAACTCATTTTACATACACATACAGCTGACAGATATACAGAAAAAATAATATCCTGTGGATATTTTGCAAATTTTCTATGTTGAACAAAAATAATTTTCTAACAGGAAAAAAATTTAAGTAGTGTTTCTCAAAGTCATTTATGCCTCTTCTTGACCTTAGGCTTTGCTGTACATTACCTCTTTCCTAAACACTACATATTTCTAGTAGAAGGAATCTGGACAAACTGTGCATGTGAAAACTGCATTAAAATAATGTGAAAACTGCATTAAAATAAAACTACAAATCTCGTGTTCTATTTGTATTTTTTATAAATAAAAGTGACACATGTATAAGACATGATCTGTTCCAGATTAACCTTTTCAGGCTTTTTCCTAGGAGGTCAATATAATCTAAACTATGCAGCATACTGTGACATTCCTAAGGTTACTGGACCATTTGCAGCCTGACTGCCCATATTACCCTAAGCACTATTACCCCAAAACACTAATTATTGCAAGGTCATAATTGTTCCCTTAAAGTTTAAAAATAAGTTGTACTGAGGTATAGTTTACATATATGTTAAATGTACACTACGAGTCTGACTGGGTCCACTAATAAGCTTTTTGTCAATAAAGACACACAAGGAGGGGTTTCTAACTGGAGAAGGGCCTTTTTTAAAAAAAACAATTCTCCCTATGTAGCCTAGGTTGGTCTTGACCTCCCTACGCAGTCCAAGTCAACCTCAAACTTTCAGCACCTCTAATGCTGAAATTATAGGTGTGAGAAACTAGGTACGATGAGAAAGACTTTATTTAAAAATGCTTTCAGTAAAATTTTATTGTTAGAATGTTCTTAGATTCCCAGATAGCCAATCTTTCACTGTAGATGTTTTTATGATAGGGTGCTACACAGTGGAGAGCAAAACCAAGAACTCCCGAACAGTAAGGCAAGAGCTTAATTTCAGCATTACAAACTCGTCTGTTGGTAACTGAGTACATCAACTCCAACCAAGACGCACATTTAAAAATAACATCTGGTGACATTTTGATGTAACTACCTACTGTCTTTTTTATTTCATACACTTGTATATGCCTTCAGGCAATACTGTGGAATCCTCTAGAGAATGAACATTTTTGTCCGATCTGTTTTGTGACCAAAAGCACAGACAAGCATGCAAGACATGGGGCTGCAATCATGGAACATCAACACAGAATAGAATGAACTGCAGTTTAAATGGATGGCATCGGATTTCACAATTTACTGCTTATGCTAAATGTGCCAAGGAGCTACAGGAGCACCAAAACAAGACCCAAAGGTAAGGTTCTTAGATCTGCTTTTCACCTGTGCCTAACCCTGGATTTACTACAAGCTCTTTCAATATAAAACTCTGTCCTTCTAAGGTCATTCTTAAGACACCACAACGAAACGCTGTCAGAAAAGTCAAGCAAAGTATACAACAAGTTTCAGGACTCACCAGAGCTCTTCTGGTTGGTGACTGGCTTGCCTTCCTGAGGAACAACATGCTGGAACACATGCTGTGCACCCTGTACCGTGGCTCTCTTCAGGCAGATGTCCAGCAGGTCGTGGGTGGTCCCGACATTCTGGGCGAGTACAAACTGAGGGTCGGAATTCAGTTTCTGGATCAGAGAAGCTACCTTCTCCGAATTCAGTCCTGCTGGGAGACCAAACAGAATTATAACATCAAAAAGGGGGCGAAGGGTCCGTTCCGGGGCTCCCGCATCCTGGATCTAACTTCTAGCATCTTGAGGTGACCAATGAAGTGGGGAAGCCTTTTACCGGCGTCCTCCTCCAAGATGCTGCAGCCTCCCTCCAGGCCGCTCCATCCCCGCCATCGCCCCGGTCCCGGCCCCCGGCCCTCAGCGCCGCGGGGCCTCACGGGTCCCGTGGAACACCCAGAGAGGACACCGGCAGGCACTTGGATGGGAAGAGCGACGCCTCACCCGCGTTGCTCATGGCGCCCACACTGCCGGGTGTGGGATAACGTTAGTTGCGGGGGTCTTCAGGTGAGCCTTGGGATTGCACCGCGGCCCGCTGGATAGGTAGCCCGGCCCGGCTCTCGCACCCCGAGCGCCGGAAAAAGGAAACTAGCTCGTTGGCTGCGAGGAGGTTAAGGCCTAGAGAAACGGGGTCCGCGGAGGGACAAAACTCCCCCCTCGCGTTGCTGACTCAGCGCCGTTGGGGGTGGCCCCGCCCGGGGGAGGGCCAATGGGGGCGTCCTCGCTGACGCGCTCTTTATGGCCAGTACCCCCGCACGGGCGGGTCTCAAGGTTGGTACCGCCCGCGTTCACAATGCTGCGTGGTCCTTGCGTCCGGTATGCGTCCTTTCCGCCATCTATGATCCCGCGTCCTGGTCACAGAGCCACCCTCTTGGGACCAGTCCTACTTTGAGGAGGCTGTTTTCTTGCCATATCTCGTTCAGATGCCAAATATTTTAGCATCAGGAATTGACTTTATTGAGTCTTTTTAGAAGCCCAAAAGTCCCTAAGGCAGTGAGGAGGACCTGAAGGGCTCAATGTGAAGTTCAGGGTTTGGGATGGGTTCACTTAACCCAAGAAATCCACCCAACGGCTTTTCCTATAGGCATCCTTTGCTGGTCAATCGCTACATTTTCAATGGCAACTTGTTGCTTGTATTCTAGTCAGAACCAAGTTCTTGTATGTGAGGGGAAATTGGAACCAATCCCTTTGCCACCCACTCAGAAGCTACTACCATGGTTCTACAAATATACATCTGCTCATTTCAAGAAAACTACACATTCTGGGCTTCATGGTGTCCATGAATTGCTCCTTCTTAACCCAGCATGTACTAAAGAGAATGACACAGCTCAGGCTTCTGCATCAATACTGTTTGGCCAGGCTATCTAGAAAACCAGTAAAGACTAGCCTTCCCAGGTTTTTAAGATTACAGTAGTATTCCAAGGTTTGGAGGACCCAAAGGAGAACAAGTACACATGTATCTGTCTTAATAGTAAAATGTTGCTATTGTAAACAAGCTTTCTGTGAAACCTAGAATCTAAGTCTTACACTGAAAATCATCAGTGATCCTAAGGAATATGTGAAAAAATCCATACAAACACACCAATCAGTCATTAGAGAAATCACAGTTTCTATTGTCCCTAGGGAGACTTTGCTAGATTAGCAATATGACATAGCAACTGTGTCTAAGGGAGCCCAGCAACCAACTTATTTGGAGATTCTTCCAGTATCTGAAAAAAAAGGAACAGACTAAAAATTATGCTGAAAGAAACCATCAGTTCTTTTTTTTTTTTTTTTTTTTTTTTTTTTTTTTGGTACTGGCAATTGAACTCAGGCCCTTGTGCTTGCAAGGCAGGCAGCAGAACCACTGAGCCAAATCCCTGGCCCACCATCAGTTCTTTCACAAAATAATGTTTAAGATTCTTGCCCAATTAAAATTACATTTTTATAGGGCCGGGGATTCAGCTCAGTGGTTCCACCAACTGCCTCACAAGTGAAGAACCCGAGTTCAAGCCCCAGTACCGAAAAAAAAAAAGGTTTTATTCAATATCTAATATACCAGCCTGTTGATTATATGAAGTCTAAAACACTCTAATTTGTTGTTAAGACACTCATAATGATGTGGGAAGAAGTACAAAATAACTTTCAAATGGTGTAAACTAGCATGCCAATGGTACTGCACAAGCAATGGATAGCTGTTAATTAGGGTTAAAGATACCTGAAAAAAAAAAGTGTCCAGATTAAGGGGAATTTGGCTCAGTGGTAGAGAGCTTACTTAGCATGCATAAGGTCCTGGGTTCAATCTCCAGCATCACAAGAGGGGAAAAAAGTGGTGATGTAATTTTGAATAGTGGATGACATTTATAAGGCAAAAACCAGAAGGGCATTGAAAGCACCAACATAAGGCACAGAGACATGAAAGCACACAGCAGAATTATGTTCAAGTCATTGTGCATCATAATTTGATGTGGTTAAGAGCAAGGAATGCTTTGAGACCAGAGGCAGGGTGTAGGACGGGAAAAGTAGGTTTGATCCAGGATATAAAGGGTTTTATATGCCACACCTAGTATCTGGATTTTATCTTATGCTTAATTAAAAGCCAAAATAGGGTTTTAAACAAAGGAGCCTTACGCATAGATCTCTGTAAAGAAAAATCTGATGACAGTGGAGGAGGAAGACGGGGTGACTGAGAAAGGAGAGATTCTGGAGATAAGGAAGCCAGTTGGAAAGCTATTCCAGTAGTGAACTTGGGACATAACATAAATCTTAGGTTGTGTTGGGTTGTTTTGCTATTTTTGTAGTATCTGTGATATTATAATGGTTATTACTCTATGTTATGTTATTATTGTTGCTGCTGTTTTGTTTTTCCCTCTCAGTACTGGGGATCAGACCCATGGCCTCATACATAGTAGGCAAGTTCCTTACCACTAAGCTGCATCCCCAGTCCAAAAGCTTTAGACTATGAAAGAGCAGAGGAATAGATAATCATGAAGTTTTCAGTTGAACAAGAAGATGGTAGGGGAAATGCAGAAAAATAGTCATATTTGAGAGTATGCGAGTTCTGGATTCAGTTTGAGCTGTGGCAAGTTTGGGATACCAACAGTGATCCTAGATAGAGAAGTCCAAGAGGCATATGAGATCTCCAGAGATTAGGTAAAGCACACAGGTTAGAGTTGGAACATGAAAGTAAAGTTGCAGAGGGGAAGAGGATAGAGCAAGAAAAAGATAGGCACCAAGGATAGTACTTAGGCTGCAGCATAGTTATTTGCACAGGGTATTCAGGGCACAAGAGCATCAAGCTGAGTATCCCACTTTGAGTTGGAGGAATATAGGTTCCAATAATTCTATTCTTAGGGAAATGTCTTCCTGGGTGGGCCATTTGGGGCAAAACCACTGGGGAACCAGTTTTATTCTGTATCTCCTTTCCCATTTCTTTTAGGAAGGGCTGTCAAGCACTATGTTGCCAAGCTGTGTACCCTGGCCCAGGGATATATGCTCAACGAGGGTATCATTTACCATTGAAGGGATAGCATTAGCTTCAAAACAGGAGCCAGCAGAAACAAACAACAGTCAGAGAAGTTGAAGAAGACTTGAGAACATGTGTCCTGGAATCTCAGAAAGGCAAGAAGGTGATTAATGAGACTGCAAGCGGCAGACAAATCAAGTAAGATTTGGCAACTGGGTCAGAGGCCGACTTGAAAGGCAGTTGCTGGGGAAGGGTGGAGTGGGCAGAAGCCACACTGTAGCAAGCAGAGAGGGAGGTAAGTATTAGGGAAGGTCTCTCTGAGGATAGGAAAATTTAACTTCTACCCAAAGATACAAGGGAGGAACCAGTATAGATGAGAGATTAAGTGTATATCAGAAAGGGTACAATTGCTAATATAAAGATCTTCGTAAACCAGGAGGAGATGGAATCATTGGGTAAGGTGGAGGGGACCAGTTTTACAACTATTGCCACCCTTTTCATGTCAGTGATTATATATCTCCACCCCATGCCCAGAGATTCCTATCATTGTCTCTCTGCCAGATCTGCTCTGCCCTCATTGTCAGGGTGGCAGCCTTTGTACTGGCTTTCTACCCAGCAGTTCACACTCATTCACTCAGCCCCCATGTGGGCATGGAAAGGAGGTACAGAAGAAAACTGGTTTCCCAGTGGGTTTGCCCCAAATAACTGCCCCCCAGGAAGACATTTCCCCAAGAATATAATTCTTTTTTTTTTTTTTTTCGTACCGGGAATTGAACTCAGGACCTTGTGCATGCGAAGCAGGCAGCAGAACTGATCTAAATCCCTGGCTCTTCCAAGCATGCCTGCTTCGTAAGCACAAGGCCCTGAGTTTGATCAAACAAACAAACAACAACAACAAAACACTGCCAATCTCAAGGCAAATTTTCCATCCTGTGCTTCTCCATTTTTGCTGTCCACTAATCTTAACATGTGTTGGCCAAATGCTTCTGCTTTGATGGAAAAGATCAGTTCTTTATGTTGGATGGAAGCCTGGCAGAGGGAACAGCATATACAAAGGAAAGGCATTAGAGTCTAGCACATCATTTTGCAATGCTATGAAACTCATTTACATTTGGATGCTGTCCCAACTAACTCTGAGGTTTGCTTTGGGCAGAAACCCTTCTGATATTTTCCCAGGCCTTATAGTATACTTTAGAGTGCACATGTTCATAGCCTACTGGGTCAAATTCAGGTCCTAGATGTTTTGTTTGACCTGCATATTACTTAAATTTTTGAGTCAATACTTAGAATTTAGAAGTTTTACAAGCCTGGGTAGCTGGCTTCTCTTAAAAATATTATCATTTTCCTATAATATTAATTTATCCATCAAAAGTGAAAAAACAAAAACAAGGGAGTAGTCTTATGTCAAGGCATTCCACCTGATTTTCTTTATAGCTTATTTCACTCATTTACATTAATTGACAGTAGATAATTTGGTTTTAAATTCCTGATGTAAAGTGACCTATGTGGAGTTTCAGAAAATTAAATCTCTCCTTCTGTTCTTACCTCCCCCTTAACTGTATCCCTGCAATGAATAAAACCAGCCAGAACTGATTTGCTAAGTCTTTGATATTGAATCTTGGGATTTCCTGTACCCAAAGGAGCTTATATGCTTTCATTACAATTTTTCTACAGAATGAAGCATATATCCAGATGAGTACAGGTAAGCTGGCAATTTAGTATTTCTATTATCCTTGTCTCACCTAAACCCCATCCTTGAACCAACCTTTGTCTCTTCTTCCTTTGGCCTAAAGAGCTCAGAATCAGATTTTAAGTATCTTCATTAATTGTAAGTTATGCCTAAGGTTATTTGTTTTGTCTCATTTTGAAACATTATCCAATGTAGAATCTTTGGATTTGGAACCCATAGCTACAGAAGTCTAACTGTATTTGAATTATGCAAATTTGAAATAGTTTGTTATAAACAGTAACACCTCTCTATATGAAATCACAAGCAATGTGGGTCCCTCACAATTGTCAGGAATTGCATACTTTTAAAACTGGTAATGGGAGCCAGGAATGACTATAATCCCAGCACTTGGGAGGCTGAGTCAGGAGAATTGCTGTGAGTTTGAAGAAAGCCTGGGCTCCATAGTGAATTTAAGGCCAGCCTGAACTACAAAGGGAAACCCTATCTCAAAACAAAAACTGGTGATGGTGAACTAGAAAGTATTTATATTATTGCCACATGGTGGAGCCATTTTAGTTGTAAAAAAATAGTATCTTTCCTTCAATAAATTTATGTGTATTGCTACAAAAAAAGCTATCTTGGGCTGGGAATTTGGCTCAGTGGTTCTGCTGCCTGCTTTGCAAGTGCAAGGACCCAAGTTTTTTTTTTTTTTTTTTTTTTTTTTTTTTTTTTTTACCATTTGATCCCATTTATATGAAATTCCCAGAGTAGGTACATTTATAAAGACAGAAAGTAGATTCAAGGTTTTCAAGGGCTGTGGGAGGTAGGGGAGGGAGTGCGGGGGAGCGGCTGTTTCCTTTTGGGGGGATGAAAATGTTTTTTTTCTTTTTATTGAGTTTATTGGTACAATCTAGTTATACAATACAGTTACATTCATCATTGGGATTCTGTACCACATAATAGGTCTTGATTCTCATTTTTTCCCCTTGTCCCTGCCCTCCCTTCACCCCCTCCTCCCCTCCCCATTTACAAACACTTTATTTCCATTTTTTCAGTTTCTCATATTTTTTTCCTCTCCC